TATGGGGCAGGCTATTGGCTCAGCAGTTGAGACACCACTTGGGATGCCAGCATCCTTTGTCAGAAAGCCTGCAAACCAATTTCCTGCTAATGTGCTCCCTGAGAGGCAACAGACGGTGACCCAACTACTTGGTTCCCTGCTACCCATATAGGAGACCCAAACGAAGTTATAGGGTGGTAGCTTCTGCTTGGCCCAGCCCTGGCTGTTGTGGGCATTTGGGGAGTGACCCAGCAGATGAAGATCTCTCTTTCTCTATCTACTTTAAATGAAAATTAAAAAAAGAAGACTATAAAACAGCAACAAAAACAGAAGATCAACTGGAGACAGGAGAATGTTCTGGAGCAAAGAGGTTCATGAAAGTCAAAGGAAGGGGCCAGCTCTGTGGCATAGTGGGTAAAGCCACCACCTGCACTGCCGACAGACCATACGAGTGCCGGTTCAAGTTCCAGCTGCTCCATTTCTGATCTGACTCTCCGCTATGGCCTGGGAAAGGCAGTAAAGGATGGCTCAAGTCCTTGGACCCCTGCATCCGTATGGGAGACCCAGAAGAAGCTCCCGGCTCCTGGCTTCAGCTCGGCCCAGCCCTGCCATTGCTGACATTTGGGGAGTGAACTAGTGAATGGAAGACTTATCTCTCTCTCTGCCTCTGCCTCTCAAAAAAAAAAAAAAAAAAATCTTTAAAAGAACAACAACAAAAAACAAAGGTGAAAGGAGTTATAGAAAGACAGAGAGAAGTGAGAGTTTTGTTTCACAGATACAGAGTTTAAGTCTTGCAATATGGAAACTTCTGGGGCTCTGTTTTCACCAGAATGCAAATATATTCAACACTACTAAACTGTGTACTTAAAAATGGTTAACATGGTAAATTTTTATATATTTTCTACCTCAAATAAATAAAAATGTCAAAGGAGAGGAAGAATGAATGGGAAGGAAAAGAAGTGTCAAAAGCTACAAAAAGGGGCCAGCACTTGCCACAATGGCATCCCATACCAGAGTGCCAGTTCAAGTCCAGGCTACTCTACTTCTGATGCAGTTCCTGTGAATGTGCCTGGGAAGGCAGCAGATGATGGCCCAAGTACTTGGATCCCTGCTACCCATACAGGAGACAGAAAGAGGGATATCTCTAAAGCAGAAGGGAAGAAAAGAAATGTATAAACAGAAGCCCAGACAGTTTTTTTTTTTAAAAAGTGCTTTTTGGGGCCGATGTGGTGGTGCCAAGGATAAAACCACCACCGGCAACACTGGCATTTCATATGAGCTCCAATTCAAGCTCCGGCTGCTCCACTTCCGATCCAGCTCCCTCTAAAGGCCTGGGGAAGAAGCAGAAGATGGCCCAAGTACTTGGACCCCTGCACTCATGTGGGAGACCTGCAAGAAGTTCCCAGCCCAGGTTGCTGCAGCTATCTGGGGAGTGAACCAGCAGATGGAAGACCTCTCTCTTTCTGTCTCTCCTTCTAACTCTACCTTTCAAATAAATAAATAAATCTTTAAAACAGCTACAACAACCGAGCACTTGGGTCCCTGCAGCCCACATTGGGGACCCAAATACAGTTCTGGGCTCCTGGCTTCAGCCTAGCCCAGCCCCCACTGTTGTGAACATTTGGGAAATGAACCAGAGGGTGTTATCTCTATCTTTCCATCTTTCAAACAAAATGAAAACAAATAAAAATTACTAAGAAATACCAAGAAAAAATTCTGAAAATTTTCTAATGAGGTTTCTGGCGATCCTAAAACAAATGGCTAGGTATGTCCCTCATTAGTACGGAGAAGCTGAGAGATGTGGAAAACCACTGGCCAAGGTCAGGAGCTCCAAGTTTCCCACCACAAAGTCAGGGTGGCTAGGCATTGTTCTAAATCTAAATGGTTTCTTTCCTTTTTTTTTTTTTTTTTTTTTTTTAAGATTGATTTTATTTTACTTGAAAGTCAGGGTTACACCAAGAGGAGAGGGGAGGGAGAGGGAGAGAGGGCGGGAGAGAGAGGCCGGCGCCACCGGCACCCTGAGGCGCTGGATTCTGTTCTGGTTGCTCCTCTTCCAGTCCAGCTCTCTGCTGTAGCCCAGGAAGGCAGTGGAGGATGGCCCAAGTCCTTGGGCCTTTCGCCTGCATGGGAGACCACAAGCACCTGGCTCCTGGCTTCGGATCAGTGCGGTGTGCCAGCCACAGCGGCCATTGAGGGGTGAACCAACGGAAAAGGAAGACCTTTCTGTCTCTCTCTCTCACTGTCCACTCTGCCTCTCCAAAAAAATAAATAAATAAGAGAGACAGAGAGGTCTTCCATCCAATGGTTCACTCCACAATTGGTTACAACAGCCAGAGCTAAGCCGATCCGAAGCCAGGAGCCAGGAGCCTCCTCCAGGTCTCCCACGTAGGAGGCCAAGGACTTGGGCCATCTTCTACTTCTATTCCAGGCCACAGCAGAGAGCTGGACAGGAAGTGGAGCAGCCAGGTCTCAAACTGGCGCCCACATGGGATGCCAGCACTTCAGGCCAGGGCATTAACTCACTGTGCCACAGCACCGGCCCCTAAAGTTTCTTTATACACCAGGAGGACCCCCACCCCCATTTTATCCAACTTCCTATAACTGCACCCTTTCAGGGTGTGGTCTCAATAATTTAGATTTCTAATCTGGTTAGGGTATTCCCTATTGTCATCTTTGGGAAACCAACACTGACAAAGTTACATACAAACCCAGGTGACAGCTCTGGATGGACAGGCAGGCTAATGCAGGCATTAGGCTCACCTGACCACTCCCAACCCCGCTGCAATTCCAAGCTGCACGCCTCACAAGAGTTCAGCTGCCACTGCCCTGCAGCAGAAGCTTGAATAATACTGAAGCTAGAGGGACGTCAAGAGTCACAGCCGGTGACCACAGCCACTGGAAGCAGCATTTCCTGGATATTCTCTTTGAGATGTGGGCTAGGGAAAGGTCTTGGGAAGTTTCATTCAAACTGGAGAGGAGCAGCACTGTGGTGTCCGTCAGGCTTTCTGGAGTTCTGCAAACCAAAGTTGAAGACTCCTCCCCAGCCTCCGATCCAAACCAGTACCTCTGCACCCTTAGCTCAGCCCTGTTACCCTGGGGCCTCTCTGCTCCTGGCCAGACTAATACAAGAATGCTGGAGCTTCCTCTGTCCATTTAACTTACTGATACGGTTATTTTGCATACTTTCTATACCGGAGAGAGGATTTCAAACCAGATTGTTCCTGAAGGACACTGCCCTCACTTACTCAGGGTTTCTTGAATCTATACGTACAGTTGTGTAAATAGTGCGCATTCATTCATGTTCTATACATGCTAGGAAAAATCACTCTAACCTGTGATTTATATTTTAGGACACAGGCATGCTGCCACCAATCACTGGTAAAAGCATTCTGGTGGAAATCAAGTGTAAGTGCTATACAATCTCCCTTCTATCAATTCTCTCCTCCATGGCCTGCGTACACAAAGACGCAAAGGGGAGAGGATTCTCCAGCTTCAATTACTTCAAACCACCACACAACTAGGGAAAGGGCCCCATGGCCAGCCCCTGTCTCAACAAACACAATTTGTAGGACGTTCAGTCTAGTCAAGAAATTTGGTGGCAAAGGATCGCACAGATGTCCCTACAAATTTTATCCTTTTATGTAGCAGTAGATAACAGCAGAATCCTTAGACTGAAATCACTTCCCCTCTTAGTGATCCAGTTTCCCCACTTCTGAGAGGAGGGAGTAGGGTACATGGCCTCAAAAGTTCTGTTTAATTCTAGAATACTGTGATCCATACTGACTTTGCCCATAGGGACCTGAAAAGTTAGACTTATTTGGTACATTTTAGTTGATTCAACTTACAGAAGAATCCGGAGGGCACATTCTTCAAGAATTCATCGAATGCTTAAGGTGAGGCTTACCAGCCTTCAAAACTAATGACTTCCCACTTGGTCATCAGCACGAGGAACTACCTGTGTGGTTGCCCCAAACCTCACCTCTGTCTCAAACACATATCCCCCCCCACTTTTTTTTTTTTTAGATTTATTTGAAAGTCAGAATTACACAGAGAGAAGAGAGGCAGAAAGAGAGAGAGAGAGAGAGAGAGAGAGAGAGAGAGAGAGAGAGAGAGATCTTCCATCCGATGGTTCACTCCCCAATTGGCCGCAATAGCCGGAATTGTGCCAATGCGAAGCCAGGAGCCAGGAGCCTCTTCCGGGTCTCCTGCATGGGTGCAGGGGCCCAAGGACTTGGGCCATCCTCCACTGCTTTTCAAGGCCATAGCAGAGAGCTGGATCGGAAGAGGAGCAGCAGGGACTAGAACCGGCACCCACATGGGATGCCGGTGCTTCAGGCCAGGACGTTAATCTGTTGCGCCACAGTGCCGGCCCCCAACATATTCCTTTTGCTTGCAGTAGAAAAAACAATCCTTGCCCTCAATTGAGATGTAGGTTTGAGCCCAATGAGTACACAGGATAAACAAATAACATGACACAAAACTTACCAGGCAATTATCCATTATAGAAGTTGCCAATAAACGTGAGAAGGGCAGGCATTGGGGAGCAGGAGGTTAAGCCTCCACTTAGGATCTCCACAACCAATACTGGAGCACCATATTGGTTTGATTCCTGACTACTCTGTGCCCCCAATCCAGCTTCCTGCTAATGTGCCTGGGAGGCAGCAGGTGATGGCTCAAGTACTTGGGTCCCTGCCAGCTACATGGAAGACTCAGAGGGAGTTCCAGGATCCTGGCTTCAGTCTGGCCCCAGCTGTTATAGCCATCTGGGGAGTGAACCAGATGATGAAAGAGCTCGCTCTCTCTCTCTGTTACTGTGCTTTCCAAATTAATAAATCTTTAAGAGATAATAATAATAAATGTGACATATAACTCACATAAATGAGTACGATGGGGTGGGTTAATCACAGAAAGCTTTATGCAGAGAGGAGTATTGGGAATCAGGTTTTCCAGGGGCAGCAGGAACCCCAGCTGGCAGAGAAGAGGGCTGACACATGGAGCAGGATTCAGTCAAGACTCCTTACCTTCCAAGTGTTGGGGGCAGACTCCCTGTTCACCGGGCTCCGACCCCCTGATGCCTCCACTCAGTGCCACTCAGGAGATGCTCTGAGTAACCCATCTTGTTGGCTATTCGACTGAGGCTTCCTTCCTGGTGACAGGCTCCATTGCCAGGGGGACGGATGTGATGTCACAACCAGGAACACTCTATTAATAGGAACAAGGAGGAGAAACTTGAGTCAGGAGAGCTACCTCCACTTGGCAGTGAGACCGGACAGACGAGGAGGTGAAGTCAGGCCGCTGGGGAGGCGATGACTCCAGCAAGGACCACAGGTTTCAGTGCTAAGCATACGTGGCTGCTCTCTAAGGAGAGAGACCACTGTCCAAGGAATCACTCACAGGGTTCAGTAGATTCACACAGAGCTGGTAGGGGACAGGAAAGCACAAAAGAAAGGGAGAGAAGAGGAAATGCTGCAGACAGAAACGATTCTTTTATTCAGCACACACTACAAGTAATATCAGTAATTCCAAATCTATAGCTCCACAATACATATACCCAAATACCTTATGGTATTATGTTTTTATTTCTTTATGTTTTTATGTTCCCCAAATGCTTTCATGCAATTTATTTCATGTAAACACAATGCTGGCCTTATTTTCCATATTAAAAATACTATTTATTGGGGCCAGCGCCATGGCACAGGTTAATACTCTGCCTGTGACACCAGCATCCCATATGAGTGCCGGTTCTAGTCCCGGTTGCTCCTCTTCCAATCCAGCTCTCTGCTATGGCCTGGGAAAGCAGCAGAAGATGACCCAAGTGCTTGGACCCCTGCACCTACGTGAGAGACCTGAAAGAACCACCTGGCTCCTGGCTTCGGATCGGTGCAGCTCCGGGCGTTGAGGCCATTTGGGGAGTGAACTAATGGAAAGAAGACCTTTCTGTCTCTCCCTCTCACTATCTGTAACTCTACCTCTCAAATAAATAAAAAAATCTTTAAAAAATTATTTATTCTCCACAATAAAAATAATACTTCCTAAAGACATGCTCAACAATGTTGGTACAGGAGTAATTTTTTTTTTTTAGATTATTTATTTGAAATGCAGTGAAGTGGGGAGGGTAGAGAGATCTTCCATCCACTGGTTCACTCCCCAGATGGGCAAGGCTGGGCCAGCCTGAAGACAGGAGCCCCCAACTCCACCCTGGTTTCCCACATGGCTGGCAGGGACCCAAGTACTTGGACCATCATCCTCTGCTGCTTTCCCAGGTGCACTAGCAGGGAGCTGGATTAGAAGTGGAACATCTGGAACTCTAACCAGCACTGCAATACGGGATGCCAGTGAGTTCAGAACCCAATCCAAGTCTCCTACACAGGAGGGTGTAGTGCGTCTTTCACTTTAACAACACCCCATTTCTCAGCACACTGGCACATGCTCCTGAATCTCAAGATTTGTTTCCAGGAACCAGTGCTGTCGGCTATGCTCTCTCCTCGTGATGGCTTCCACGTTCAGAAGGCAAACAGCTGCTCATGCTGGGAGAGACGACCCTACCTCAGTGCCCCCTTGGTCAGAACAAGAGGAGCTTTTACACCAGAGCAGGGGGTCAGCAGTCAGGAGACTCCTGTATGACCCTAAAGCCACGTGACCCTTCGGTGGTTTTCAGTTTCTTCAACTGTCAGGCAGGGGGAAAGGCACCTGCCTTATCTGCCTCCTTTACTGTCAGGGCTTGGTGGGAGAGAAGAACTGTGAACACCTTCATCACACTGCTACTGAGGGCTGGGAGGGGACATCGGAAACAAATCTGTTCCATCTCTTCAGTTACTGGGAACTGGGGCAGCTCCAAGGTCCAGTGGACAACACAGGGTAATGAGGCTACTGCACCAGCGGCCAGCCCGTCCATCGCCAACCGGGGGAAGACCAGCAGCCAGCAAAGGTATCAGCCTCTAGACCTATTATCAAACTAAAACCACTTCACGCTGACTGCCCATCACACGTCAGTCTCAAGGAATACAGGCCTCGGTCATAGCCACGTTTGCTATTAGCGAAATGAAGCCTGCTTCTTAACGGGGAATGCCTCAGTCCTGCTCCTTGCTCCTGAAGGAGCTCCAGAAGAAGTTCCCTGCTCCTTCTGCCCCCCTCACTCCCCACTTTTCCTGGGTCCTGGATGGCGGAAGGCTTTCCGGTGTGCAAAGCCTACAAGAGGGCCGGGCTGCAAACCACTGGCAAGGATGTGAGGAATGCGAGATTCCTTCATGGAGGGGTGGGAGGGGAAGAGGAGCGGAAAAGCATGAAAGGGAAGAGACAAGGCTGCCAAACACAAGGCACGGGAGAGAAGCCAAGCTATGGCGCTTCGAGGGCGGAGGTTCAGGTTCCGCCGGCCCCGGCGAAGCTCTGGCTGGCCCCGGAATGGTCCCGTCGTCCCCTCGGGGACCACCGCTGCCCATTTAAACAGCAAGTTGCTCCCCCGCCCTTCCGCCTCCTCCAGCCGGCCCGGGCCCCCTCCTGCAAGGTTCCCCAGCACATATCCACGCTGGCCTCTTCCAGGGATCCTTTCCCGACAACCCGACCTCCGGAGCCCCCTTCACACTCCGACTCTTCCCCAGCGCTGCGCCCTTCCTCCATTTCTCATTTTCCCGCCAGTCCCTTCTCCTGAACCCCAATATCTCCAACCCTCGCCCCAATACCCCCGGGACATCGCCCCCTCCCCTCCCACACCCTTTTCTAGGGGGAAGCCCGCGCAGGCGCAGTACGCACCGCCCTGGACGCGGTCTGGACTCGCCGTACCCAAGCCTGGCTGGAGCTGAGGCCGCACAGGCTACCGAACAGCCCTGGTGCCCAGCCCCAGCCTTTCCCCGGAGGGGGAAGGGGAAGGGGAAGGAGGGGGAAGAAGGTTCCGACCACTCGTCGCTGCCTCAGACGGATCCTTTGCCCTGCCCACCGCTGCTACGCAACCCGAGCGGAAGCTCGTCACCAAACCCCGCCTCCTTGTTTAACTGAGACGGGCACTGGAGGCCACGCGCGGCCAACGAGGTGGGACGCGGGCTAGCCGGGCTTCCGCTCCAGGCCGGAAGTCTTTGTGATCCCAGCCGGGACTGTATAGCCAGTTTGGAGGGGGAACTCTATGGTCTTCCTGGCGTGAGCGTCGGGGCTGAGGCCGAAGATTCCTACCTTGGGAGGCGACGCTTTGCCGTGGAGGGACGCACGTGACTTGTTCCCTGGAGCGGATGCGGAGGGGTGCCGTCCGGGCCGGCCCCTCTCGCGCTTCCAGAGCCGTGGTCAGCGCCGTGGAGCCTCCCGACCCTATGACTCAGAGTCATGGGAATGGATACTGCCGCGAACAAGGCGGCCGCGGGTGGGGAGCGGGGGCGGGTCCGGCCGCGAAGCTTTGATCTGGAGATGCTCAAGCGGTTGCCCGCCTCTCCGCCAGCCACACTCGTGCCATTTCCACTCTGGGACCCCTTGAAGCACCTAGGGGGAAGAAAACGCCCCCTCTGCCCGGGCTGTCGTTTGATCTCCTTAGGCCTCAGCACTACGAACGAGGGTGTGGGCACGAGGGACGTGAAGGGGAAGCCCAAAGCGCTCTCCGGGAAAGTAGATGAGTTGGGCCAGCCACGGCATTACAGTTACTCCACCTCTTAGGCTAATCTGGCACTCAAGTGGCATTTGCTATGGATATTCGCTAAGTAACTGGCAATGCGCACTTTGTCTTCATGCATTTGGCGTATACACTACAGTACAGGAACTATCTACCTTTTGTTGGCCATCTGGCAGGTCCCAAAGGAAACTAAAGGTTCTGAGCTTTTCCATCCTGGGGAGCATGGTGGGGCGGGCCGAGGAGGACTGACTCCGATCTAGTGAGGCGACTGCAGTTGGAACTAAGGGAGGGACTAATGCAAATGCTGTCTTTGCCCAGGGTTCCCTTTCTTACAAAGGGGGTAAGTCTGCCAGTTTCTGTCTCTGGAATGCCATCCCCCCCCCCAAAAAAAAGTCCCTGACCAAGGTGGGCAGTGAATTAAAGGTGAGGACCCCAAATCCAGAATAAAGAGGCTTAAAGCGGTGGGAGAGGAGGAGCCAACTGGTACTGCGTTTTATATTTGCTTTCTCATTTGTAAAATGGACTTGCATATGCAAAGATTGCTGGGACAGGGTTGTGCTGTAGAGGATTAAGCCGCTGCCTGCAATGCCAGCATTCTGTTGGGTGCTGGTTCATGTCTGGGCTGCTCCACTTTCCACCCAGTTCCCTGCTAATGTTGTTGGAAAAAACAGTGGAAGGTGGTCCAAGTGCCTGGGCACCTGCTCCCACTCATATGGGGAGACCCAGATGAAGCTCCTGGCTCCTGGCTTCAGCCTGGCCCAACTCCAACTGTTGCAGCCATTTTGGGGAGGGAACCAATGGATGGAAGATAGCCCCCCCTATCATTTTTTAAAAAAATTGCCACAGAAGGTGGGCATCATGGCACAGTGGGGTAAACCAACCTGGCATCTAAAAACAGAATGCTGATTGGAGACCCAGCTGCTCCTCTTCTGATCCAGCTCTCTGCTAATGTGCCTGGGGAAGACAGCCTTGGTGCTTGAGCCCCTGCTGCCCACATGGGAGACCCTGATGGAGTTCAAGGCTTTTGCTGAGACCACCTCAGCCATTTGACCATTTGTGGAGTGAACCAGTGGATGAAGTGCACTCTCTCTCTCCACTGCATCTCTCCTTTACCTTTCAAGGAAATAAACAGGAAAGGGGCCAGCATTGTGGCTTAGCGAGTTAAAGCCACCACCTACAATGCTGGCATCCCATGGATGTGCCAGTTTGACTCCCAGCTGCACCACTTCCCATCCAGCTCCTTGCCAATGGCCTGGGAAAAGCAATAGAAGATGGCCCAAGTGTTTAGGCCCCTGCCACCCACGTGGGAGTCCCCGGTGAAGCTCCCAGCTCCTGGCTTCGGGCTGTTGCAGCCATTTGGGGAGCAAACCAGGGGATAGATGATTTTCATCTCTCCCTCTTTCTCTGTAACTCTTTCAAATAAATACATCTTTAAAAAATAAATTTAGAAAGTTAAAAAAGAATTTTCCAGTAAAGAAATGAAGCACTGAGCCTGGATTCAGTCTGCCGGACTCCCAAGCCCTTGGTCCTTTTCCCACTGTATCAACCCTTGGAGAGAAAATTTTAAGAACCTAAAAGCGTCCCTCCAGCTAAGTAAAGGAAAACGAACATACGGCGCCCCCTGGTGGTCGATCTTTCCCCTTGCACAGGCAACCATATCTCTTGAGGCTCCTTTAACAGCTGAAGTCCACCCCCTTCTTAGCGCGAGAGCCTCGGATCGCGATTGGCTGGGCGGGAGACGGCGGCGGGACACGGGGTGCACCCTCGCTGTGCTGATTGGCCGGCCGGCGAGGTCCCGCCGTGGAAACTTCCGGGCGTGTCACCCTCCCGCGTTCCACCCGGCGGCATCCGGCGGCCGCGGGCCCTGTGGCTCCCCCTGCGGGCGGCTCAGCGGCGTTCGCAGTCGGGCCTGCTGGCTGGGTGGGTGGCGGGCAGTGGCTGGGGGAGGGAATGGGCCGAATCCCGGGGTGTCCGGATGAGGGTTCGGGAAGGGTCGGCGAGTGAAAGTCCATTCCCCGGCCGCTGCACGGGGTTCCCTCTCCCCGTCTCCGTCGGCTCCCCGGCTTCAGGGGTGGAGAGTGAAAGAGCATCCCGGCAGGGGGCCTTCCAGCTCTGCCGGACGCCTGAATTCTGATCCTGTAGTTGGCGGGATCCCCACCCCGAGGAAGTCTGATTCTAACCTTTTTGGAAGGCTTGCAGAGGTAGAGGCTGCCTAGGGTGATAGGTAGGCCCTGGGAAGTGGAGCATGGGTGCCAGGGCTCCGAGCGCGGAGCCTTCATCCCCTGTTCCCCCTTGCAGTGGGGGTGCCGAGGCTCGGGCAGCATGACGACGGAGACCTTCGTGAAGGATATAAAGCCCGGACTCAAGAATCTGAACCTCATCTTCATTGTGCTGGAGACAGGTGGCTTTGTGGGCGCCGCGGGGTCCACGGAGGGCGTGGGGGAGGGGAGCCCCCGCCGCCTGTGTTCCTAACTCGCTCCCGAGACACCAGGCTCTGCCCGTCTCTCCCTTGGACCTCGGCACAGAGCTGCAGTCGGGCATAGGATAGGTAGCACCCTCGCCAGGTCCATTTCCACTCAGAGCCCTCTCCATGGTGCTGGCCCCCTTCCCTCCCAGCCCTCTCAGCCCCTCCTGCCATAGGGACTTGGGGGCTTCTGTTCGTACCTCTTGTCCCTCACCCCACAGATATGCCGATCCCGTCTCTGGTACCTCCACCACCCTCACCTGTATGACCGTCTTCCCACACCCCCGGTTATTTGCTCCCCTCAGGCCGAGTGACCAAGACGAAGGACGGGCACGAGGTTCGGACCTGCAAGGTGGCAGACAAAACGGGCAGCATCAACATCTCTGTGTGGGACGACGTGGGTAACCTGATCCAGCCCGGGGACATTATCCGACTCACCAAGGGGTAGGAGGACCGTTAACGCCGGGCTACACAGGGGCAGCTGTGGCCGAGGGGAGTGGGGCCGACAGCCCCTGTAGCCCTCTGAGTCCCCCTCGGTTCCTGCTGGTTTTGCCCCCACAGGTACGCGTCAGTGTTCAAAGGTTGTTTGACGCTGTACACGGGCCGTGGGGGTGACCTGCAGAAGATTGGAGAGTAAGTGCTTGTCTTGGAGACTGGGAGGAAGGAATGCCAGCCCAGGGGGGACAGTTAGGGCTTGCGAGGGAGCAGCATATGGGGGCACGGTCCGCAGCCTGTACCTGGACGTCTCTGAGGCCTTGGGCAGCGGTCCCGAGGCTAGATCGGAACCGTCAGCTGCGTTCTCACCTTGCAGATTCTGTATGGTTTATTCTGAGGTTCCGAACTTCAGCGAGCCAAACCCAGAGTACAGCACCCAGCAGGCACCCAACAAGGCAGTGAGTGCCGTGGCCGAGATGCCGGGGAAGAAGGGTGGGTGAGGCCAGTGGGGGGGAGGCCAGAGTCTGAGGATGTGGTGTGTGCCTGCAGGTGCAGAATGACAGTAGCCCCACAGCTCCCCAGCCTGCCGGCGGACCCCCTGCCTCTTCCCCAGGTAACTCTGTTCCCCTCCATCTGCTTGTCCCCCCAGCTTCCTGGCAGCACCCCCCGCTCCGTCTGAAAATATGCATTTTCCTTATCTCCTTTCCAAATCTCTTCTGTCAATATATTCATTATAAATCCCCCAATTTCTGGTACCTTTTGCAAGCCCCTATGGGATGCCTGCATCAGCTGTCAGAGTGCCTGGGTCAAGCCCCACCCACTCTGCTTCTGATCCAGCTCCCACTGACGCACCCGGGAGGAAACAGGTGATGGTTCAGTTACCTGAGTCTCTGCCACTCAGAGGTGGGAGGCTGAGGTGCCGTTCCAGGCTCCCAGCTCCAGCCTGGCCCAGCCCTAGCTCCTGTGGGCATTTGGGGAGTGAACCAATGGATGGAAGAGCTCCCTGTCTCTGTGCTTCTCTCTGTATGTCTGCCTCTTAAATAACTAAGCAAACACAAATCAGAAAAGAAGGTAAGTTGGGGCAGGCCTGTGGCACAGCTGTTAAGATGCCACTTGGGGGGCCGGCGTTGAGGCATGCCAGGTTATGATACTGCCTGCGATGTCAGCATCCCATATGAGTGCTGGTTCAAGTCCCGGCTGCTCGACTTCAGATCCAGCTTGCTGCTAAAGTGCCTGGAGAAAGCAGGAGAGGGTGGCCAGAGTGCTTGGGCCCCTGCCATCCATGCGGGAGCCTCAGATGGAGTTTCTGGCTCCTGCTTTCAGCCTGGCGCAGGCCATAGCAGCCATCTGGGGAGTGAACCAGTGGATGGAGGATCTTTCTCTCTCTCCCTCTTTGTCTCTAACAGTTAATGCTTTAGGATATTGTCTATTGCTGATAGAATTGCTGTAGTGCCCTTGCTTAAAGACAAGAGTTTC